AAGATGACCGTATGGCGAAATGACTGGTTACCTTACACCCAGTGCACACCACCGATCGAATTCAGTCGAACTGAGTCGATGTCCGCTAGATTTTCCTCCAAGAATGGACAAAAAGCTACTCTTTTGGCACAGTTTAACGGAATTCGATTAAGTTCATTTGCGACCTTCAAAATCACGGTCGTGCAGTGCCGCCCAAAAATTTTTAATGTTCTATTACAAAAAGCACCCACAAACTTGAAATAAAAGAAGTCAGAAACAAACACTAGTCAAATATAGTATCAAAACAAGGTTCTCGCAGGCGCTGTAACTGTCATTTATAGTGTCAAAAGCGCCGTAAATCATCTACTATGCCACGCCAAAGTCAACGCGCTTTAAGTAAACGTAATAGGATATTCAACAGTGGCAATCCGACCTATAAATCGCTCTTTGGGATAACCCAAGCGATGACGTCACTCGTAGCGAGTTTGGCGGTACGTTAATATTAATAAGACGGCACATCTCAAATGTGCACCTGCGAAACATAGCCGAGCCCATAGTACGCAGCCTAAAAATAAACGCGATAGCCTGTACACTATTCTAAGCCAAAATTATGAGACCCCGGGAGCAATCCAGCGAGGTGCTCAAGTGCATTGTGCTGGACTCATTGTCTTGCCACTATTTTAAGCGACTCTCTGACCGTTAACCTGAGGGAGGTGAACGTGACCGTCCTATGAGTTGTGCCTTTGAATGGTTTTGTAGTGGGGTGGTGAAAGTTATTACTTGAGTGTTTAGTTTCAATGCAGGATAAAGAAATTGATGTTTAGCTAACAAACAGATTTAGTTCTAGAAATCAAAGCGACCAGTAAAAAGAATGAAAATAAGAGCATAAAGTCCTCCTCCACCCACCCAAGGATCCTAGCATCCTATTTACTATGTCCTTGACTATCTTCAACCTGCTGTTGCCTAATTGTGCGAGCCCACTTTTTAGCCCCTAAAATCAAACATGTCTGTTTTTTAAGGTCGCGGGTTGAATCGGTCGTCTTGTGACAAAACGGTGGTTTTTTAATCCCCCCATGGGAGAAAACCTTGCCGGTCCCGACTCAGTTCGATTGAATTCGATTGTACGTCAGTGTGCACGGGGTATTAGAGACGACCTTTGAACTGTTATAAAATCTGCCGGAGATCGCTAGCTGTGTGCTGTGCCGTGAAAAGGTCAACACCAAATTTGAGAGTGTCACTCAAAACCCCGCTCTTAGTGGGCCAATTCATCAACAGATCAAGAGTTACTAACAACATGCTCAGTGACGTCACAGACAACGTAAATGACGAACGAAACGATGACGGTGGGTTTATTAATATTCCTACCAATCAAGTGAGTGCGCAATGAGTATATTTGTGTGATTGGATACTACAATATAGGCCACTTTCTATGTTTGCGCCATGTTCGGGTTCCAACCAAGGAGAGGTCAGGATATATCTAATACATGTATCATCTTCTCAGATTGTTGTGGGGAACTTTTTATCTTTACTGCAGATGTAGGAGGAAATCACGCGATTCTCACAGGATAACGATGAAGGTTACGGTTGTACAAGAAAACCCTTCACAAGGGTCGAGTCAAAAATTGTAGATTGATAATGCACCTATTATTATGATTTAGAACACCTTTCTGAGTAATTTGTACCTTATTTCGTAACAATATCTTCAACCGTTCAAAGATTGTGACCATTTGAATGACGTAGGGTAGGGGACATATACAAAGAAGAACAAGAAACGGCATTTAAAGTCAAAGATGGCCATTTGTTCGATTTTGAGTAAGGTCAAGAATTAATAAAATAAACACGTTATAGAATTTCGTTGATGTTTTTAATTGTGACAGTACAAAAGTTGTGCAAGTTTCATTTTCCAGCATGTCCTGAATTTCTTCTAGATGACTTCCCACAGACTTTAATCGGACCTACAGTGCTGCACAAATAACACAAGCAAGGAATAATAGAAATCCGAGATAGCGTTAACAATTTGCCATTCCCCAACAGGCATGTCCTTAAGTTTTTGTTACCTATCATCCCGATTTACGAAAGTGTCGAACGCATTTGTCAACACTACACCCCCCCCCCTCTCTCTCGACGTGTTTGAATAATCCGTACTCGAATATAATATCTCGGAAATAGTTCCAGTTCCAGCAAGGAACGGTGGGTATTCTTGTGCGTCATATGGCATCATGATGGATGCCTAAAAAAACTTGCACTTGTGGCGAAATATCCAGGATATCCAAGAGAAAAGGGAATGGATACGGACAAAGTATTTCTTGGAAGAGTACCCCAGGATGTTGAAAGTAGTGTAATAATAGTGGTATCCAAAAAAAAAAAAAAAAAGAAACAAACCAACAAGGCATCACATTATGTTTGAGGGAATACCGAGAAATAGTGGGACTGTTTCTTCCGCATTCAACAAACTGACATTTTGAGGAAATACCATGCATGTTTTGGCACCAGTATTACAGGAAATACAGATATTTAGGCCTACATTAGACCAGCGCTATAAGAAGAAATGATATCAGTCAGGATTCGTGTAAATACTAAAAACTACCAAAAATAACACACCTATAATTTCTGACAGTGCAAACAAAATATTTTTAAAAAGAATAGATAGGAAATTGTAAATAAAATAAAATAAGATAAAAATGATGATAAAATAAAATGAAATTTAAAAAAACCAAACAAAATATCCTAGTTATTATATGTCAAGAAGTGGTGGAATCAGGCCCTCGTCAATTTTTTTTTGGCATGTAGAGTTATTAATATCATCTTGAAACTTGTTCATCTGTCTTACATTTGGCGAAAAAATACCCAATAGAAGTCGAAATATACGCGATTCAAGGAGGTGGGGGTAGCTGGTTTCAGGGGGAAAATTAGCGAGAGAATGGCTACCAAAGTTTGGTGATTTCCATAGCTTGATAGCCCTTGAAAAAGGAAGATTTACATTTTATGTGCCTTTAATCAACTTTTTTCCTTCAGTAAAATCAACACAGAAATCACGGAAGTATAGATCTAGTCGAATCTGCTGTAAGGCCAACTCTGCAATTTAAAAAGAAAGGGGAATACCCAGAGACACGGGCAATCACGGTTCGCCATTCATTACTTCGCTAGCATGCTCTTTAAAAAAATTATTATTATTACCATCAGTCTGATCTTTCCACGTTGCCCTTCTGTTAAGGCATTCCAAGTAAGTTGCTCTGGGTCTACCTCTGCCTCGCTTGCCTTCAATTTTGCCAATGATAGCTCTAGCTGTTTAAGGTTCTTATGCCCTTATGTCTCTTAACGTTTCTCAGAAATTGCATTTGTCTTTTCTTAATCGTGTTTTTAAAAAAAATCAGCGAACAGCCCACGTGGGCTTTTTCTAGTAGGACTTGTGACGTGAGAAAAGGTACCGAACAACAGAGCAACAAAACTGATGTGTTAGGGTAGAGAAAACTGACCTTGTTAGAACAAACGAACACTGAAGGAATCTGGGACAAGTGAGGTTTTTTTCCCTCTTAGCACCAGCTGAAAGTACGTACACACAAACTTATACACAAAAAGTGCACCTACGGACCCAATCAATTACGAGATGTCTGTGAAGAGTTCAACGATCTTGGCCTTGACCTTGGTGTGTGTCTGTGTGGTGCTCAGCCCGGCGTCCGCTCTGTGGGTACCAGACATGGGGCTTACGTGTATATCGAGAGGAAAGGTAGGACAGTTGTTCGTGTGTGTGTGTGTGTGTGTGTGTGTGTGTGTGTGT